TTGTTATTTGTTTCCAAAATATCATAAATTTCATCTGGTAAACTAGCGCAAACTGTGTGAATAGTAATATCGCACTGGTAACATTTAATTCGTTTGTCTTTCTCTTTCATATCCTTTCTCTTACTAGTTGAACATTTTAAACATTTCTTCTGGTTGGCCATGCTAAAATTTCAACAACAACAATAGGAGTGTATGCGTGCACGTTCAACAGAAAACTAATTATATAGTAAACTCAAATATTTACTTGAAAGAAAAACAAAATTAATTAATTAACTCCAATTAGATTTAAAAAATAATTTATATTATTAATCTCCTGAATGTTTCCTATAAGTTAGAACAAAAATTAACGAAAAAAAACACGAAAAAATCAACAAGAGATCTCAGAAAACCGTAAACAATTTGAAATGCAGCCAACAAAGTACTGTGTGTGTGTGAATGAATGTATTTTAATCCCTCAAAATAATCTCAACAGATTTCGGTTTATTTTCAATTAATCTACAGCTAATCTCCAAATAAAAACCAATTTGTCATTGAATTTATTTTTTAGGCTTATCACCGTGTCATTCATCAGCAAAACTAATAATTGATGATGTCATTTCACTGAAACCATTGTTGAAATTTTTTTATTCAGCTTTCATTTTGATTACATGGTTAAGAAGGCTGACGATCAAGCCTTCAATGAATCTATCGATTATTCTCATCAATTAATAAAAGGAAAAAGTCAATTTACGCACTACGGTTTGAGTTTTTATTTTCGATTATTTTTCTTTTCATCGTTTAGGATTTTACTGTCTATAAAATACAATGGACCGATTCAGTTTTGATCTGACACGATGATTCACGTTTTCAATTCAGGAATTCGTTTAGCCGAAGTGTCCGCATTTGAAAATAATTTGATTACAAATGCAAAAGAAATAGTTCCTAAATTTATCAACTACAAACAAGTATTTTCATAGTTGTACTATTCATTTTTGAATGTGTCTTGATTCAGTTCAGTTTCTTTTATTAATCAATAAATAGATAACTAAATATATACTTACCCTTATCATCCAAAAGCAAACACCTCGTCGAAAAATATCTTTTCAGACCCGCAAAGTTTCAGCGATATTCCCGCAGGCATACTTTCATAACAACGTCACTGTGATGAAGACTAACGTAACGTTATGTTATTGTGACTCATGAGATCCCCGCTTTAAATCTTGAACTAATTTATTCAATAAATAGTGAAACAAAACGTTTTTCAGTTATATGCTCTCAACTTATAGAGATTGGATATTTTAAAAACTGCTTATATGGTTTTTTGAATTCTTTCTTTGTCAAAATACCGGATTATCAGACACACGCTTATTTGACTATACCGGAATAGCGCATAACATGTATCAAGTCAGCGGCCCACCAAATGTTTCTCGTGCTTTTTGACAGCATTTTGAATTTCTTTTTTTATGCAAATCTCTGATCTTAAATATTTTTATACTAAATTGCTGCCTTAACATTAGCTTCTTTGACTTCGTTTTGATTCTATTTTGATCATTTCTTTTCGTGCATTCACTTAAAACATTTTTTGTTTCATTTCCAGATTATGGTATTGTAACACCAAATGTTATAATATTAAAAAAACGTATATTTTTTTATTTACATAATTCAATTTAATTTTGAACTGTTTTGTTCAGCAATATAGTCTGAAAGATGTGGAAAAGTTGAATACCAAAGTTGTGACAGCCATTGAACTTAAAAGATTTGTAACAACAGAAGAAAACTATCTTTCTTTGAAAAAATATTTAAATTTTACAAAAGGTCGCATTTTACAAAAATAAGGAATAAAATAAAACATGATTAATTACACTTTTGGTTTCAATTAAAAGGTTGAAAATTTCTTCATACAATTTTTAAAGCGACCGGACTAGCGAATTCAGCAAAGTTGGTAACGTTTGATAAGTAGGATTGTTGTATTAGTACCTTTTATTATTTTTATGCGGCTTATGCAGTGGATAATAAAAATTAATCTAATTTTCCTTGGCAAATTTCTAATTACCGTAATTCTAATAGCAAATCTTGTAATCGTTGTTGCGTTTATAAAACTTAAGTAACTGTTATGTAAAAACTTATGGTAGGAATGTACTGTTCATATTAATAGTGATAATCATATTCAATAGCTTCTATTTACAAAGTTGGATTTGTTTAATAAGTTCAGTTTGGTCCAAATCGATTCCAAAAAATTTATTTGTAGTGATGTTTATATAATAGCCGTGTGTGCTTACTGTAAGGGGGAATTGATAGCTAGAACACGAAAAATGTGCATCAAATCATTTCTATTGTGTGGACCTTGTCATCAGAACGACGACATCGTTAATGACTATTGGCAAAGAATGAATGACCCTGTGCTCGAAGTCTTACTGCCCGTTATAAATGACGGTTTTGTTTGTTATTTTAATTTATTGTCAAGAAATAAGAGCATGAGCCGCTCTGCATAATTTTTAGAGTGATTTTTTTTGTTTTATGGGGTTGATTTTCATACCCTTAGGCATTAAAAAATTAGCTGAATAATAATTTTTTAATGGTTTTTTATGTTCGAATGTTATGTTGTAAGAGCACGCAACGCTGTGTATTTTCTCGCGTTTTTTTTGTCGGCGTGTCAGTTACAATCGCAATGTACGTAGGATTTAACGCAACAATTGTTCTGCTCTGAAAATTACATTACATGAATTGTAGTTTCACTGTATACATCAACAAATGCAATGCTAATACCTACATTGAATAAAAATTGCATTGAATAAACTGTTGGAGGTTGTAAGATGCTGTGGCAACTTGAGTTAGGTTAGTTTAAATATGGCTATTAAACAGATGATGCACTTCAAGAGAAAGTTTAATTGGATACCAAAAAACAAGATAGTTGCCTTATAATCTGTTGAGTGCAGGTTTTTAATAAATTTTCGGGTTTGTAAATCATTGAAAATTTCAAAACGTTTTTTGATAATTTACCGTGTCAGTTCGCTGATAACAACAACATTATAACTCGTTTCGATGGAGAGATGCACGACGTTACGAAGCCTTCAGATGCGTGGACATAATGCGTGAATCGATGCCACAAACCCTATGAGTCACTATCTGAAAAAAATCAATACGCTCGTCTCGCATGTATACACTTCTGCATTAGCATAATGTTCATTTAAATCGGCTGTTGATAAAACTTCGGGGGAATTCGTTACAGATTGTTACTGAATAAATAATCTTGAAAATTTTGCTGTAAATTAATCTTATTGTCGGCTCTTTATTTATGTGTAAGAAAGTTTTTTAAATATATATATTTATTTATCCTATATTGTAAATGTTTGCATCCGCTTATTCACTCATCGTGAATACATTACAACCTAGTGTAGATTATTTATTCTTAAATTAATAATATGAAGAAGATGATTTTTTCATAAACATTTGTTCCTGCCGTTATGTTCATCTGGTGAAGACGACGACGATACTCATAATGCATCGTATTAAAATTTTTCTTTTTTTTATTCTGCAAAGAAGCAAACTGTCAGACGCGAGGTGTCAATGGTACAACACACAAGGCGTAAAAACAAACAAGAATGAATAAAAAAAGTGAAATAAAATGAAGTGCATATATCCTGCTCTTATAGACGTGCATATATTAATATAAGAGTTCTGCCAAGCATGCACAATTACAAATAAAATATGTCTGCATGTGTATGTGCGTGTTTTTATATAAACGTTCGTATAAACGCTTAATGACGATAATAATAATAATAATTGTTATTATTATGTTAGTTATAGTTTTAAAAATATAATGATGCCGTAGTTATAAGGAAGGTCAGGAAATATATCGTAACAATATTTATGACGTGCTCGACGAAATGTTATGAAACGAATTTGCACGTATGCCATGCCTGCTGCATATATTGTGTTTAACTTGGTTTTAGTTGTATTGGTGGGGAAGAGTTGAAGGCCTGTCGTTTTGTGCTTGCTGTGCCGCTTGCTCGATTGTCACTCTCAAATGCGCAAAAAAACATTTACTCTTATTGATCGCTGATGTTTTTGAGTTTACAGGATTGCGTCCGCCTGTTTTGTGCCAAATAATTATAATGTATTATAAAAACGTTTTGATGATTAAATTAATAATGGAAATGATCGTAAGTAGTGATAATAAGCCATGAAATTTGATGCGATAATCTTGGAAATGACAAGCGGTCGTCGAACGTTCATGCATGCACGCAGGCACACACACATAAGTTCCTATTTAGAATTTTTGTTTTGCATCCTTGAACAACTGCAGGCGCTCACAGCTGGGCACGTTATATTTAAACGTCTTTTAAAGATCACATTTATATCGTGTAGATGTTTGTGTGTGTTTGTGTGAATGTATGTATTTATAAAAAGTAATATATACCTATGTACAATGCACATATATAAACTACTTTTATTTATTACACAAATGTTATAAAGCATTCAATACACGAGTTATAAATCGTTATTACAGTTCTATATATACATAAATATGTATGTGTGTGTGTGTGCTTGTATATATTTATATACATACATACATACATACATACATACATACATACATACATACATACATACACACACATGTACATACATACATACATGCATACATAGATATATTCCCGAAGAGATCCTGTGTATATTAAATACCATCACATCTTGTATTACGTTTTCATACATTTGTATCCTAAACCATTTAATTGCATTTATATTTGTATCGTAAACCATCACATCCACACACATTTGTATCATAAACCATTACATCACGTACATTTGTATCATAAATCATCACATTCACATACATATTCATGAAGCGTCATAGCATACCGTGACTCAACTGACCATATAGCTTAGTTGCGTCGCGTCTACATGCGTACTTGCATATTTACATTCAAGATATAAATACTACATTCATACATGCATACACATACATATATACAGACATACCTACATGCATTTGTACATACATTCATACAAACATACATACATACCCACACACATACATATATATATATATATATATATATACAATACATACATACATACATACATTAATCTTACTTCACAGGAGGCGGGTGCCGCTGCCTTAAGAGCCGCAGACTTTAAAAATTCAAAATATGCGGCTCTTGCAGAAAGCAAAATTTTTCAGCCAGTCTTCATTGAGACTTTTGGTCCAACCGATGCTCAGACTCAGAGTTTTCTGAATGAACTCTGTAGCAAGATTGTAGAAGTATCGGGTGACCCATTAGATAAGAGTTATGTAAAGCAATCCTTTTCTATTTTACTTCAAAAATATAATTCTTTCTGTATTTTGGATGGAGCGTTAAAATACCTGTCTGTGCGAAGCGTTTAACATAGATTAAAGCTGAACCCGGATATGATTATTACTTCCCTATAGTTCTAATCAATTATGGGTTCATACATACATGCACACATACATACATACATACATACATACATACATACATACATACATACATACATACATACATACATACATACATACATACATACATACACACACATACATACATACATACATACATACATACATACATACATACATACATACATGCACACATACATACATACATACATACATACACACCCATACATACATACATACATTCGTCAATGATTTGGTTTTAACATACATACATACATACATACATACATACATACATACATACATACATACATACATACATACATACATACATACATACATACATACATACACACATACATACGTACATACATACGTACGTACATACACACATGCATGCATACATACGTACATACACACATACATACATACATACATGCACAAATACACACATGCATGCATACGTAGTACGTACAACAACAGACACCGTGCAACGGGAGAGCGAAGCAACAAGTATGCTCCGGCTTTTATAATGAAGGAACATCGTTGCTGACATTTCCTATGATGATGATGCTCTACAGCCCCTTCTTCCTGGTCCATCTTGCAGAAGGTTGGTTGGCTTTCAATTTTCATTTTCTTTTTTTTTGAAGTAATACATTCGTCTGTTAAAATTCATGTATTTATTATTTTTTAATTTTGTGGTCGTGTTAAAAATGTTTGGAGACGCCTGTCGTCACTTTTAGGTTGGAGGGAATGTAACGCTCATCTGTTAAATTTATTAAGGTGACCCTAAATTTAAAATTTGTAAAAAAAAACAATTGTACCACTTTAAGATTTAAAAAAGTTTTTTTAATTTGCTTGAAAACGATCAATTAATATCCATTTTTTATTGATTTGCTTGAAAATGTATTTTAAAATGTATTTTTAATATAAACTGTAATTAAATATTAACGTTGATGCACAAAATGTAAAGGACGAACAATATTTAAGTTCATTAATATCTATTCATATTTATTTATAACATTTATTAATATTCAATCACTTTTCAATTTTATGAAAAGTTGAGTTGTCACAATAGTGCCCAGCTTACTAAATACTTCTATTTAAACCGTAACTATTATGCAACTAAAAATAATTGGTTTTGCTTCGGGTTGCAAACTGATTATTGAAAATTGTTAACTGAACTATAAATAAGTAGTAATATTTTTTCAAAATATTTCGTAACTATTTTTTGTATTTGCTTCTTGACAGACAGAATCTGAATAGAAATAGTAAGTGTTAACACAATACACTCCCAGAACATATTATTTATTGTCACTGTTTATTATCACAATTATTAGCATGTCTTTTATTAATTATATTTGTAAAATTTTATAAAACAATCTAACAACACACAAATGAACATTTCACTTTACGCATACATCACCAAAGTTTTTCAACCACACTCTTTGTGCCAACATTTCATTGCATTTTTCGTGTCCATCATTTTGCGGAAAAATGGCAAAACAGCAGCCAGTGTCAAATCTAAAATATAGAACAAGATAGATATTTTGCACTTTGTGGTTCTCGGGTGAGGTAATAGAAATGTGTTCCTGTGTAGACCTCTGCTCGTAATCATCGCCAACAGATAAATCTTCGATTTGTGACTCATTCAAATGAGGACACGTGTCTGCAAGTGAAAAGAGTGACAAAAGTAACAACATGTGTTACTTTTTTGTCTTATGCAAATACATCCACAACATGCATGCCATCCAAATGTAGGTGGTTCTTAAAGCTGACCCAATAGAAGCATTGTTTCTCGCTTAGATTTTCTTTCGCGTAACATCGCCGTTATCACGTGACTTCTTAAAATACCAAAAATAATAATTTTTATCTACATTCATGTGCATACAATTCTTTGTTAAAATTTTCTATAATTAAAATTTCTTTTCTACAGACTAACGTTAAAGATAACACAATCAAAATGATGAAACTTTTTCTTATTTTAATGCTCGTTAAAACATCGTATGAAGACACAGTTGTCATTACGAAAACATTGAAGGAAGAACTTAGCGTTGGAACGTTTGTGTTGGATTTGAAAAAAGAAACGAATTTAATGAACACAAGCTCAAATGATTTTCAGTGGGTAGCAAAGGAAGAATTTGAACAATATTTTTCTTTAGAGAATGGAATCATTCGAATAAATAAAAGACTGGATCGTGAACAGATGTGCCCTGGCTTAGTGGAGTGTCTAAAAAGAATAAGAGTCATGTCAAAGAAGACAATGCTGTTAATAACGATTGATTTCAGCATAGAAGATATAAACGACAATTCACCTATTTTTAATATTTCAGATATGAAGACTAACATTTCTGAGTCGGCACAACTAGGAGTTTTTTATCAATTACACCCTGCCGAAGACTTGGACAGTCCCAAATATGGCGTCGTTAATTACTTCCTAGATCCGTTACAGGATCCCATCAATATGAAACGATTTCATTTAAAAGTTGACAAAAGTGGTGAGAGGATAAACAACGTGGAGCTGCGTTCCGCCGAATCTCTCGACAGGGAAGAACAAAGCATTTATCGGTTGAAAGTGATTGCAGTCGATGGCGGCCAACCAGCGAGGACTGGTTATGCAAACATCGAAATCAATGTACTTGACCTCAACGACAACTATCCGCAGTTTTCCGATAATTTATATATTCTTAACGTAGTTGAAAATGCAGCTCCTAAAAAATCTCTTTTCAAAGTTGAAGCAACCGATAAAGATGCAGATACGAATGGACTTATAAATTATTCCTTTTCTGAAAAGACTAGAAAACAGTATGGTGATTTCTTTGAAATAAACAAAATTACAGGAATAATTTCTCAAAATAAACCGTTAGATTATGAAAAATTTCGCTCAATTTCACTTGATATCATAGCTAGAGATCAAGGCATTGAACCGCTCACCTCAAAATCGACCATGATCATTAATGTTGAAAATGTTAATGACAATGCTCCCCAAATAACGTTTTATGAAACCAACAGTGATAAAATAAACATTTCACTACCTGAGGACGTCCCACTAGAAACCCACGTCTTGCACTTTTCGGTCGAGGATGATGACGGAGATGAAAATACCAGTTGCTCTATCAGACTAAATAAAGTAACTTTTGCATATTTTGCCTAATTTTTTGAATTTCAATTGTTACATCGTTTAATTTACTCATTTTATTTTTTATTTAACTTGTTTGGGCTATTAAATCAGGGGTCGTACACACACACACACACACACACACACACACACACACACACACACACACACACACATGTAGATTGCGTTTTGATAGCTGAGATCTCAAACCCAATCACTGCACCACAACGGCCGTTGCATAATCTCGCCACCCAAATATTATGTTCAAGAATGTTCATATTGTTTTTACTGTTTTTGTTATTATTATTGTTATGTCGATTATTATTTTTATTGTATTATTATCAATAGTCATGCTTGAACAAAAACTATACAATTAATGAAACTTAACTTGAATAAAAATTTCGATTTGTTTGATTTGTTTTGCTGGTTAGATATTTGAAAGATGGACACACGTCTTACACTTTTCAAAAAAAAAATTAAAAATTGCTAAAAATGATAGAATCGTTTTTATTTCAAATCTAATTATTTTCATTCTCGATTGAAACTTTCATCATGGATGTTTTAAAAATATTTTAAATCGTGTTTGACTGCTACAGTGTTGTTGTTATGTACATAATAATTTAAATATTTTTAAACACTAGACAAAACAAGATAAATTATCATTCTCTTCATTACAACTGGAATGATTACATTTAAACATACAAACAGACCAAAATGTTGATGCCTTATCGACTCAAGAAGAAAGAATTTTCTACGGAATTTGTCATTGAAACGATCAGTGAACTCGACCACGAAACTTCCAACAAACATGTTGTAATTATAGAATGTCGAGATGCTGGAACCCCGCCTCTTTCAAGTACTGTACTATTCAATGTCTACATCAAAGATGTTAATGATAATGCCCCAAAATTTACATTGGATATCTACAACATTTCTATTAAGGAAAACAACCAGCCTTATAAGGTGCTATTATTTATAGATTTTCATTTATATTTATTCAACATTTCAAGAAACTAGTAGTTGTTATTAGACTGGCGATGAAATGACCTTCGCTTTTAACATTTTTCAAGCATCTGCCACAAAGAATTATTTCATATACACTAACACTTGTTGCCCTCTGTTCTTAAATAAAGCATTTTATCTTTTTTGTTCAAAACCTCTAATAAATCGCTTTTGGTCTATTTCTATTCAAATTTTCAAAATTTTCGTACACTGTATAACACATTTTATTTTGTTTTCAATGTGTAAAAACAGTTTTAATCGTTACATCAAATTGCTCCTAGCTGCAATCATTCCTAATTTTGACAAAATATTTGCTGATTTTCCCTGCTGATACGTACTAGGAACTTTTCTCAAATTGCTTTCTTTATTTGATCATATTAATTTAACGACTCGAAGTGCTACAAACAATTCTAATGAGATCAGGTCATTCAAATTTTCCTCCTCAAGCTGTCTTTTCCTATGCGGTCTTGAAGGTCACTCGCTGATGATCATTTTTAGGAAATAATGATGACCGGACAAGAGCAAGTGGTGTGAACAGAAAGATTCGTTCCAAATATCAAAAAAACTATTGACTTTTTGAATATTTACAATAATTGAAAAATAAGTTGTAATATCGCTTTAAAAGTTTTAGTCTTTGATAATTTCTTTTTAAAAAAAGATAATAAAAACTGATAAAAATTCGCTTGTAATCTTTCAAATAAAAGTTTTACTGTTGCATAACATGTGAAAACTTCAAAAACATTCACAGCCTTTTAACTTCAGCATTAAAGCAACTGATCCAGATGACGGAAAGAATGGGGATATTATTTATTCAATTAAATCAGATCCTTACGCTGCTTTTCAGATAGATGCCAAAAGGTTACTTGAGTTTCCTTTTGCTCAGCCCTGCTGTTGAGTTGCATATAATACAAAGTTCGCTGTCTGTATTGTTCATATTGTTTGTTTTTTTCATTCTGTTTATATTGCTTGCATTGTAATTTTATAGTGGTGAACTTTGGACAACAGTGTCGTTAGACAGAGAGAAGAACAGTTTTTACAAATTTGAAGTTGTGGCTAGCGATGGAGGAAATGATGAAAATAATTCTTTGTCGAGATCATCAACCGCCGTCGTTACCGTGCTCGTTGATGATGAGAACGATGAACCACCAAGATTTCGACAGCCAATTTATAATTTTACAATTATTGAAAATAAACAAAGCAAAACTGAGTTAGGTCAGCTTACAGTCAATGATCTTGATTTAAAATCAAAAACAATCTTTCAACTAGAGTCAAACAGCAATCGAATGTTTAGAATAGACTCAAAAAGTGGAAAACTTTTTTCGATTAAGCCTTTAAACCGAGAGGAGAAAGATTATTATACTTTTAAAATAATTGCCAAAGACGAAGAGTTTCCTGAAATGCAAAGCGTCGCGATAGCCAATGTAATCGTTTTAGATGAAAATGACAATCCACCAATCATTGAATTCCCAACATCTGGAAACGAAACAGTCTATATATCAAAAAATACTGAAGTTGGATCCTTTATTGCTAAAATTATTGCTAGCGATTTAGACGCAGGAAATAATTCAAATCTTATTTATTCAATATCGCATAATGATCCTGAAAATCATTTCAAGATAGATGAAAGAACAGGGGAGTTATTTCTAAATTATCCCTTGCCAGATTATCAAAGTGAATATAGTTTGATGATAATGGTGAAAGACATGGGCACGCCGATTAAAATGACGCTCGCCACATTGGTAATTAAAGTTGATACTGCAGCAGCAATACATCCTTTCAATCGCCCTCTCACGGTTCAAAGAATGTTTACTGAGGCACATTTGGCTGTAGTAGTAGGTGTAGCTACTGGGTGTTTATTAATAATATTTGTTCTCATATGTGTTGTCTGCACGGTCAGCCATCAAAAACCCAAAAAGCGTTCAATTACGAAAAACACCGCAGAGAATGAAAAAACTCTGACGAAGACCTACGAGTCAAATGTTAAAATAAATCCTTACAAGCTTGAAGGTATGAACGATGATAAAAAAGATAGCATTTCCCATTTGAGAGAAAGTGTCATTGCTGGAAATGAGGGAAGTTTGTCTGATGCGTTCATTATGGCGAATCTGAACAATGATGCTCACATTCCATCACCGGTTAGTTGCGAGTGATTGTTAAGTTAGATTTTGTTCTCAATTTGTACATTTCATCATTTTAGCTTACAATAGACAGACGGTCATCAAAACTATATTCTGCTGAAATGAGTATTAACGCGGGAACTGGTAAATTTTATCAATGCGACTCACCGGGATTTTTATCTGACAACATGGTGAAGAACCCGTCGGCTTTCAAGAATGTTACGTATGTTGACTGCTGCCACCTCGACAGTGTTTCAAACAACGGCATTTATCAATCGAGACCAATATACACGTCATCTGATTACAGTATGCCATTTTCAATGTTGTACGGTATTTAATTTCAACTAGGGTATAAATAGTTTTAAAATCATTAAAAAAAAATTGTAAACTCATGTTATAAATTATTTTAAATTTATTATTTAAAAAAATATGAAACACAGATGACAACTTAGTTCCAGTCACTTCAAGTCCCGACTGGTTGTTACAAGCGGTGGAACAAAGAAAACAAAGTTTTTCTCGCTGGTTGAACTGCGAAAACAACAGCAACCAAAAGTCACAGCCGTTTGGCATCCATGAATACAGTACTATTCCTTCGCTAAACAGGATCACGGCGCACAGGTTTAACGATGATTTGTCTTCGGTCACAAAGAGCTTAACAGGAAACAACCAAAATAATGAGAACATAACTGAAACTCGGCCCCTTATTCTTCGAAACAATTTTCCCATAAGATCTTCTCCAACTTATGTAGGTTTATATTCTGGGCCATATACATCAAGGCCCGTCATCTCTGGATCTCTTGAAAACGAATCATTTCTAAAGACGCTACAGGAAAAAATTATTTACAATCCAAATTCTATTGCCGAAGAAGTTCAGTAAATATATTCAAACGTTTGTTTATTCATGCACAATTTTATATCTATGCAAAATGTATGAATTTTCATTTCAATATTTTCTATTTTCACTTATGATAACAAGCTATTTTTTTGTTGACTCAATGATCTTTCAATTTTCAGTATGTTTTTGTATGTTTCTGTAATTAAAAAACTTTTTAATATTGTAAAAAAATGTATGAAACCAACTATATAAACCGTAGTTATCAATTCTTAATCCGTTTACATTGAAGTTTTGTTGCTTTTGTTATAGCTTGGCGCGTGTCACCTCTGCCAATAAACTATTTGGGGATGTTGGTTGGTATGCATGTATATTCTATAGATCAAATGTGTACCCGGCAGGTATGCCCTCCATTTAACGGTATAATATAATGCATAAGTTTATGCAGAATATAATTGATAAGAGAAATTTTTCAGTCAATAAACTGCTAAAAAACTTAATAGAATTTATTCAAAGACACAAAAAACTATACATCTTTTTTTTGTTATAACTAAAATGAACTGAAAAGAATGTTCGGAAAATTTCTAGCTTTGCATTTTAATTCAACAGATTTAACAAAATACATCTTATATCAGCTTACAAGAGAAAAGTTGGACGTAGTTATTGAATTAGTGCAACCCATAGAAAGAATTTCAACGGCATCGCAATGATGGTTTTCTTGAAAGAACAGTTTGTCATCACATCATCAAATTTTTTAGCTTATCACAAATATAATTTTCACCAAACGTCGTGCAAGTTGGCACTGTTCATTTAAATTCAAATTTAAAATTCGAAAATTAAAGACGAAAAAATACAAAATTGAAAACTTATTTTAGAATGACAATCGTTGACCGACCAACGAATTTAAATAAAAAATGGCATGAGTGACTTGTAAAGAGATTATTGTAACAAACAAACAAATGAACAAAACATATAAATGTTATATGAAACAACTATACTACCCAGTTTGAAATGCTTTAAAAAATTTACACCCGGTAATTTCAATTATTAACAAACAAAAATTTCTGATCAAAATGTGGGTTTGACCAACAACTTACAGTTTAGATATATTCAAAAGATTTTTTATTTCTTGTCTCTTTATTTTGCCACTTGATGTTTTTGGAATTTTGTTGACAAACCTCACTCCACCTGAAAGTCTCTTGTGAGGAGAAACTCGGTCTGTTTTATTGAAAGTTATCCTTAGACATTCTTAGTAAGATATCAAATGAGTTGAGATAGAAGAAAATTTCCATGATTTGTTTTTAAAATTTGACGGACGTTAAAGTAAATGGAGAAAGTTGACTGGTGCTGAAGGACGATGTTGGTGCCGCTGATGATGCAAGGCAAAAGTTTCCTCCTACTCACCGAGAGGCATCTACACAAAGTAATCTGACTTATTCTTGACCTCAAGTTGCTTGGTTGACTCAGTGATATCCATAAATACATAACAAATATGAAGTGTTCAATTATTTTTGAATTAAAATAAATGGCAAAATGGACAGTGTTAACTTGTGAGAAAAAATCATTTAACTTGATAAGTAAAAATAATTAAAAAATATAGTAATGATTTGAAGTTTTGCATTTTCAAAAAAATTGAAAAATTTGTAAAATTCAAAAAAATGTGGAAAATCGTAACAGTTTCTAAACCATTAATTCTAATAGTTTTAAAACAGCAAAATACTTAATAAAAAATTGTTTAAGTTAATCCTATAACCTGACAGCCAGTTTATGATGTCCGCTTCCGAACATTTCGCATTTTCTTTTTTAACGATCCAAGCTTGAGGGCACTGACCACTGAAATCATCTGGAAGGCCAACGACCGCAACATCCGCAACGTCCTCGTGCCCCATCAAAATTGATTCAAGTTCCGCTGGAGCTACCTTCAAATTATAAGCAACATTTAAGATAGGCCCAATAGAGGAAATATAATACACAATTATTAATGCAATACTCAAAATTTGTAAGTACCTGGAACCCTTTGTGTTTGATGAGTTCTTTCAATCTATCCTTTATGAAAATGAATCCGTTCTCGTCGTAGTAACCAAGATCCCCTTTTAAAAAAATGAAGAGAAGATGTTAAAACTAGAAAACGCTTAATGTAAATTTTGAGATGCATTTGCATATTATTAATTTATTAACTACCACTTTATATTTGAAAGTACAACGTATAAAATTTGAGAAATGTCGGTGCCAATAACATCAAACATAATGTTTATATCGTCCGTCTTATAATTAAAAAGTCGCTTATTATTTTAAAATGAAAAAAATTTTCAGCTTAAGACTTAAAAGTCTGTTGACAAGCAAATGGTGGTTGGTAGCACCATGAGTAAGTTATTATTAAATTTTATATTGAAGATGTGACGGAAGGAAGGATGGTGCTTCCGATGATGATGATGATGACGGCGATGAAGATGGTCGAAATGATACGGTTTTGTTCACACACAGACTGGATACATATTTACATAAAGCACACTAATTAATACATTCTTCATCCATTAACTCACACTCGTATATTTATTTCAACCATTCATTTATTTACTTATTGTTCATTCTTTCGTTCGATCGTTCATTCATTCCTACGGTACTTCAAGAATAACCTGTATGCAGGAAACCATGCTCGTCAATGGCGTCCCTCGTAGCTTCGACGTTGTTGAAGTAGCCGCGCATGACCTGACCTCCCCTCACCAATATCTCTCCTTCCTCGTAAGCACTCAAATCTTCATTCGTTCCCGGCTTTACTATCTACATCATTTTTATTTAAATCTGCTCTGAAGTGATTTAAATAATAATAACAATAATAATAATAACAATTGTCATGTGAGCATTGCTCAATTTTATAAAAGTTTTCAAATGTTAAGTAGAGCCAAGTGTGTGATGTACTGATTCACGTGTATTTATAAACTCTGTGTGTGTGGTGTGTGTGTGTGTCTGTGTGTCTGTTGTAATAATAAAAATGCGCCTCAGTCATGAAATGAAATAAAACGACGTTATAATTATCATTGTTGCTGTTATTGTTATTATTATTATCAGTGAATGTGTCACTCAGGCTATAAACCCGGCCTGTTCGAATTCTGATCTTTCCGAAATTCGGCCTCATCTGAATGGTCTGTGCAAGCAAGTTGGGGTACGCGCTTGTGCGTGCGCTTTTAACTGCATAGCTTTAAACAAAACTCATCAATACATTACTGTCATCAACTAAAATGTGGCTAAGCTGTTGGCCACACCAAGTAATTTAATTTGTTATTTTATTTCAATTATTTTCACGATACTTGCTTTACAAACATACATACATATATTCAAAAAACTATGTTCACTCATGTATAAAGAATAAAATACATTTTTTTTAGTCTTTATTATTGCAGCTCTGACATACGCAAAACCACTTACAATGTTACAGATATATATCTGTATATCTTTTATTATGTTCTTCATATCTTCATCCATTGATTTGAAGCAGCCATCTTCGCCACAAAGGTTGTTTATCCTTTTCACACGACGTACATGCGTGCACATAAAATCTCAATGGCTATCATATACTCAGCGTATATGCATATACGCTGAGTATATGATAGCCATTGAGATTTTTGACTCAGCGTGCATTTGAACCACTGAGCCATCTCGCCGGCTTACGTGCGACAACTTACGTTGTCTACCCATTAACAAACCTTGAAAGGATGGACAGTTGGGTTGGCCGGGGGTCGGCTACCCGAATGAGCCTGTAGAAACTGTAAAATTCGTACCCGGGTCGTGGGAGCGGTAGACGGACACGATAATCACTCGGCCACGAGACCACATTAGCCTTTGCTTTATAAAAACATCTCCGAGCCGAGAGTTGTAAAGGGTTTTAAAGGGTAATTAGCATATTTTGGCTTAGGGTAATTAGCACACTACTGTTAAGGGGTAATTAGCTTATTACTGCTAAGGGGTGATTAGCATTATCTTTACATTCCATTAAACTATCGGAATCCATCGTTGCCCATTCCTTAGTTTTCATGAACATTTATTCACCAAATTTTACTTTAAGTTTTTAAAGGTTTTATTTTATTTTGAACGATCCTACATATTTCATAATATAAATTTCACGATCAAAAACATGAAATGTGAATCAGAAGAACCTTGGCTTCAGTGTTAGCGTACAACAAGCCAACACATCCAGAAGAAATATTTTTTCCAGGAGAGAAAAATGGATCCGGAGTTTGACTGACAGTGGTACATTCAGTCATTCCATAACCTGAAAAATTTATGTTATTCTTAATGCCAAAAATTAAAAAAAAAATTTTTTGTTATTATCATTGATATTTCCTTAAAACTAATCGCAATTTAAAATTTGGACATTAAAAAATAATGACCACCTATAGTTTAATTAATATTTAGGTTTTGAATGCATTAAAAATTAATATAAAGCATAAGCAATTAGATTGGAATGTTCTTTTGTCCTAGATTTTAATAAAGAAACAAAATTTTTGTAAAAAAATAATAAACTTTGCGCATTTGTTCCAGAAAAAAAGAAAAATTGTTTTTAATTAAAATTCAAAACACACCTCAAAGTGCGAATAACGTTTAAAATTAAAAATAGTTGAGAAACCGTCTGTCGTCAGCCAGAGTTGAAAGCGGGCCAACGAAAGATGCGGCAGCCATTTAATTATCAAATTGACTGACCTTGAATCATTTTTATGTCATTTTTTTGGAATAGTGACTTTAGTTTATTTTCCAAATTCTGGCCCATCGGTGCAGCAGAACTGTATATAAACTTTAAACATTCCAAATTGTAATAATTTGATGTTTCATTCTTGCAAAGCATGACCGCCACGGATGGAACTAAAAAAATTGTTTTAACCTGTAAATTAATACAAATATGATTATTATGTTGTTTGGTAACTTTTTTATAAATTGAAAATTATTGGTTTTCCATATTCCACCTTCCTTGCTCCCCGTCCATAGTTTTTTGCTACAAAGCAAAATATTTACATTTTACGTCATCTTCGCACAGAGAAGAGCTATGGATGATACACTTAATGACTTAAGAGTGCTTCATCTTAAATAATTCAATTTCAAATTTATGCAATTATTTATTTCATGCATCAAAAACATTTGAAAATCGTTCAATTGAAATCACTTTATTTTTCATTTGAAAATTAGTTCATAACATTTGAAATCTAAAAGATCATTATCAACATGTAATTCAAATCGTATACCAATCATTATGTTCGTTAGTACCAAAAATTATTTTTGCAATACTGGATGAAACAACATGAAAAGTTTTAATAAAAAATGTGCTATTCTTATCTCAATACAGACATTTTTGTTTTTGCAATATTCTTTCCTATATAGACCAGTAAACAAGTGGCATAGGCTCCAAAAATAGCAAATATCGGCGTCATTTTCAAGGTCTTAGTAAGCTACTTTCATTATTTGCACCAAAACATTACTTATAATTTAAATAGTTATACATGAAACAAAAGTTAAATCAACGTTTGGCGATGTTTATATGTAATAGTTGAAAATCACAAGTTAAATGTTAAATATCATAGTATCTTATCATATATCAATTTTGTTCTTGAATTTTTTTTAACAGAATAGATAAGCGTAATAAATGAATGTCATTTAAACACTGCTTACGCGAAAATAACAACAGGAAAAATTCGATCTTACTTTATAAGTTTCAACAGCTTGTAGGAAGGAATGTAAATTAAATTTCGGTAACATTAATGTAGTTTTACATCTGGCCAGACTAAACAACATTCGAATGAATCCGTACCCATGTGACATGGGTTGGTACAGTATCAAATGTTTGCTACCTTCAATGCATTCGTATGCAGGGTGGCTGAATAATGTTGCAAATAATTAATTATATAAAAAATTTTTCATAATTAGAATCAAAGGCGTAGCTAGGGGAGGGGGGTACATATGTCTATGGGCGCCAAGTACAGGGGGCGCCAAAATGAGGCAGACAAAATTTTCACAACACGAGTAAACTATAAAAATCATCTTTGACAGTGACTGAATCATATGTTATAATTTGTATATTTATGTTTTATCTTTAAATAAATTTGAAATTTTGTAAACTGTAATTTTTACGATGTTAATGTAATAAAAAATGTGATTAAACATAGGGAGAGGGTGGCGCCAATTTTATAGTTTGTCCCCGGCGCAAAATACCCTGGCTACGCCTCTGATATGAATATAAGAACCTCATTTGACATATAGACGAAACATAACCGTGGTGAGTCACCATAACTCCTTTAGATAAACCAGTTGTACCACTGGAAAACAAAACGACAGCGATGTCATTCAACGGATCAAATGATTCTCTTTCCTTCTCATCAACGACGACCTCACTAGATTCAATTTTTCTAAAATTTGAAAGGCATTCTTCAAGTGAAACGCAACCTTCACTGTTGTTTTTAACGATCATTTTCTATTTGTAAAAAATGTCAAATTAATTATTATTTGTGTTTATTATTGATAATTAGTTACATACTTTTATAGTAGGTTTACATTGCATTGCTATAGCCCTTTGCACTTTTGAATACAATTCATCCGACGTGATGATCAAACTGCATGGTACAAGATCGAAGTAATGAACAAGCTCGTCTGAATGATTCATCAGTTTGAAAAAAATTTTTATTTGTTTGATAAATTTTTAAAAATTATTTCTACCAGCAGTGCTAAGGTGGTTTATCGGAACCAAAACAATGCCAGCTGAGAGGCAAGCTAAAATAATTATTTGGAATTCAATGCAATTCGGCAGAACAACCGCGACATAATCTTTCCTCCTCAACCCCAGACATGTTAGCCAGCTCACCAAATTGTGCGATCTTATAATAACTTCTTCATAAGTTTGAGAATGACCGGTCTCTAAGTCCTTCTAATAAAAATTAAAAAAATCAATTTATATATTTCAGTATTTCAGACACTCATCATTTTATAACTCACTGCAGCAATGGCATTTAAATTCGTTTTAAAATTTTCGACACAAAATGTAGCCAAATTAACAATAGGAACATCAACTTTGAAAGGACTTGAAACAATCATTTTAGAAAGAAATTCACAGCAACTTTAGGAAATAGATAAAACTTATTCAGCAAATTTTTTCTTATATAGGCGCGGTTCGGTGGGCGTTTTGCACCGTGTTTGGCAACCTTTGTTCCAATCAAAATTCCAATACATGCTTTAATACATGCTTAGCGTTCATATTTTATAAACTCTGTGTTTAAAAAATAGCATAAATAACAAAGCTGTTAAAATATTTTAAAATAGATCTGTTAATCGCTACACTACATAAATACCATTTAAAATAACTTTCCTGACATTATTTCTTAAACACATAATTATTTTTATTTAATTTAACTTTTGAAAAATAAAATAAACAAACCTGCTAGTTTTTATTTATCATTAAATTTTTGCACGAATTAAACACCATATTCATATTGTTTAGTTGGCTCTGTTAAAACATGCCGTTTAGTTGTGCCACTTGGTGGTTCCAATGCACTTATGTAGGTGTTCATAGGTCATTGGTGTTCTGGCGAGTTTTCCAGCCTGTAAATGTAACTGATGATGTCAATTTTATTTGTAAATATTTGTCAGTTGTTCCATTTTAAATGCAGTTAAATAATTGTTCAAAATACATTGACAAGGTTAACACACTTACATTGATATTTCATACATTTGCGCAAATAAACAGACACACACACACACACCCACACATATATATATATATATATATATATATGTGTGTGTCACACACCCACACACACATATATATATATATATATGTGTGTGTGTGTGTGTGTGTGTGTGTGTGTGTGTGTGTGTGTGTGTGTGTGTGTGTGTGTGTGTGTGTGTGTGTGTGTGTGTGTGTGTGTGTGTGTGTGTGTGTGTGTGTGTGATCAGGGTTGCAACATCAGAAAATAAACAGACACGTCTCATCCTAACCTAACTCAAATGAAAAAAAGAGCAAAGTTGACATTTTTGAAAAAATTATTAAGGAAAAATTATTCTCCAGTTGGATCAGTGTGATTGATTATTAAATTTGTGAAAATGTTTATTTATTAAATTTGCACCACCATTGAATGAGGATGAACAATAACTGTTTGCGAGTGCTGATTGATTTAAATTGAGTAATGAATAATTTTTCCCGATGTGTTGAGATTGCAGCGAATGCAGAATTGGGTTTGCGCTGACGAAGGCTGATGTAATGTGATTTTTATTGATAGTAGGCTTGCAATGAGTGACTGTGAACGGGATTGTGATTTCATTTTATTTTCGTAAATGAATATGTCTATAATGCGTTAGAAATTTGAATGGTAATACATTTTGCAAGTCAATAATTGAGGTCCTAGCACATAAACCCGTGAGGAATATCTTCATGCAGTAATGCGATGATAGCGAATGGTTAGATAAATGTTTTTATAGACCAATCTGTAACGATTTTAACAAGTCACAGTACCATATGCCATGACATTTGAATCTCAATGATAGTGATGCCAGGGCATGATGGCTCCTACATGCGCTTGGACCTTCATGGGTGTTTGTTGCACTAAATCTGATGTTTTTTAATGTTTAACAATAACAAAAATCTATCAAACAGGTTTCATTTTGACTGCGCTCCTTAATGAAATTGCATCAAATCCTCCTATCTTTTGGGCCGCACCCAGCAGGTTTCTTATAACAACACTCTCTCTGACGTAAGCAAATTATCTTTTGGTGTCCCCCAAGGATCTTAGTTGGGACCTCTGTTATTTTTTATGTACACTGCCGATGTTTTTAATATCATTCAAAAATATGAGTTCAGCTCTCACGCCTTTGCTGATGATATTCAGTTATTGGTATCTTGTCCTGTTAATTACGTCTTACCTCGGGGGAACTGGGTCTCTGGACGCTCAACGAAGATTGATTGATCCTGTTAATTCGATTGATGCTTCTCTGAATAGACTGATTAATTGTCTTATTGAAATTAGCTCTTGGATGAGTATGAATCAGTTAAAGTTAAATCAATCTAAGACAGAAATATTACCGGTTAGTTCCTGGCAGCAGCTGCAAAGGTCAAAATTTCATCAATCTGTATTGGCAATGATATCATTGATTTTTCCACATCTGTCCGTAGTCTTAGAGTTGTTATTGACTCAAACCTAAAGATGGATTTACATATTAATAATGTAGTGAGGGTCTGCTCCAACCAACTGCGTTTATTACGCAATGTCAGAAAATCACTAAACACGTCTGTTCTTCAAAGTTTGATTTCCTCTTTCGTTTTTTCCAGACTGGACTATTGCAATGGTCTTTTTTATAGTGTCACCAAAAAGTCTTTTTCAAAGCTTCAGTCAATGCAGGATCGTGTGGCCAAGCTGGTTTTGGGTGGTTCGAGGTTCGATCATGTTACGCCAATTTTGAATAGGTTGCACTGGTCGAGAGTTAAGAAACGTGTTTTCTTCAAGTTAGCAGTTTTGCTGTTTAAATGTGTCAATAATGCAGCACCTCCCTATCTAAATTGGAATCATACAAATCTCATTTTTCAAAATATTCTTTCCGATCAACCGAGCGCCATTTATTTTTCATCCCGACGACAAACTTTGCGGTTTTTGGTCCGGTTGTTTGGAATGGTTTGCCTCCTTACTTACATGACCCTAACCCAACATATTTCAATTTCAAAGTCAGCTTAAAACTTATTTATTTGCACAATGAACGTCCGTCTTATTTGTCTATGATTCAGTGGCGCTTTTGAGTTTCACCATATAAAAAGCGCTGTATACAAATTTCCGTAATAATAATAATATTTTTAAATATATAGTTCACGGTTTCAGGTGTTTTTAGTTAATCTAACTTAGTATCATTTAATATACTTATTTAATCGATTACCATGTTTTACATTTTAAATTCGGGACTGCTTTTACTTAACACAGAAAAACTACAACCAAAACATCATAGAGAATTTATTATTTTTTGTGTTTATTAAAACTGTGCGATCCTCAGTTAACATCAACAAAGTTCGGAAGGATTTCGACTCGTGCGTCAGAGATGTTACATATGTTCAGTAAGTTTATTCCTACGATTCCCACACCAAATGTGTTGCTAGTGCTCTGCGGTAGATGGTTGTGTTGGTTGCAATTATTACTACCATTCAATGACCTGCCAGCTTTTCCTCAATAGATCTCTCCTTGATCTGGAGTTCAATGTTTCAACGAGTTGTGTGTTCTTCCAGGTTAATATATTTTAAACTGCGATACTATATATGATATTTTTAATTGATTCGTGCGGGTGATTGATGGGTGTCCTGGAGGTAATGTTATTTTCTTACGACTATTGTGAATGATGATTTCGAATGATTTACTGAGGTTAAGTGACAGATTGCATTGTTTTGACCATGAGGTTAATGAGTTAAAATGAGTCAAGGGTGAAGATGAAACACATCACATCTCAAATGCTTAATAGCATATGGCTTCAAAATGCTAGTGACATTCAAGATGTAGATGGCTGGTGGTCAATTAATATTCTGGAATACTTGTGAATGAATAATTTGTTTCACTTTCGAACATTTCATCGTTTGTTTATTTAAAATTATATACAATCTATCATTTGTAATTTTTTTCAAATAAATGACGTTCTTATATAGAAAGGCTATAATTTTATTGATTTATTAAACAATCTATCATTTATAACAATTATGCGTTGAATCGTTGTCTATAATTATCAAATGATTATAAATTATTCAAAAATTTGAAAATTCACCCGCAAAATTATAAACCCAATTCCCAAATTTTTGAGTTGTGTCCATAATTATATAAACTCTGTTCACAAATTTTAAAGCTCTGCCAAAACATATATAAAATAAATGTGATTAACACCGTCCACTAACACTTTAACTCCCTCAAAATATTTCAGCATCTGGCCACATTCACAACGTATCAATTCGAACACCGAAGATGGTATAGGAATACCGAAAAAAGCTTTTTTGTACTATCATGCATAACAAAAATTTTGGTTTTGAACTCAAGAAACTTGAGAACGATTTACGATCAACCATTAGAAAAATCAATAAGTTAAACAGGAAGTTAACTGACGCCGAACATGGGTGTCATCAGTATCATTCTTTTGGCGGTTAATTTTTGATGTATATTTTTGTAAAGTTTTAGTCCGGTTGCGATCAATACCACCGATTCTCATGTTTTGTTTAAATTTGACTAAATATTTTAGAAAAAAAAACAGCAATTAACGGATTTCAAAAAAATTTCTAAATGTATTTCCCGCCAAAAACTGGTTTTTAGAATAAAAAAATTTCTAAATGTATTTCCCGCCAAAAACTGGTTTTTAGAATAAATGACAATTTAAATACCAAAATCGGCTTGTGTTTCAACGAATTCTAAGCGACGACCAAGATGCCATAGCAGCAAAGCGTTGTTTTTTATAAAAAAATGTGACAGCACGTTGTTTCTAGGTAAACGCCTTTTAAATGGCTGCACCTTTAATGGTAATGATAAAAACGATAACGGCGGTGAAGTTGGTTGTGATAGAACTGATGACTATGGCATGATCCTTCTTGACAATATTAATAATAAATACGTAACAAATTGCAGTGAAAATAACGTTGGTGATGATAACGTGGGAATGATAAAAACAATGACGATGGCGGTGATGATAATGATTGTAGTAAGGATACTGGTAATAGTATTGATGGAGAGGATAATAATAATGGGGGGAATGGTGATGATGGTAATGTTAATGGTGCTGGTAGTGACGGTGATGATGACAATAATTATAACATTGATGTTAATGATAACAATAATAATAGCAATGATAACGAAGATAATTGTGGTGATAATGATGGTGATGATATCAACGGCATTAATAATGGTGACAAGATGAGTTTTAAGGGTAGTGTTAAAAGATTACATATGGGTTTATTAAACATCAGATCGATGATTTTGATTTCAAAAGCTGACAGGATATACCATTTATTGGATGATAATCTGGATGTTCTTGTATTGACTGAGACAAGGCATGTTTCTTCAGATCAAGTCTCTGTTAAACTCGCCATGCCTTAGGGATTTGCGCTTGTTGATTTTTTGAGACCTTATGACCCTGGACACGGAGGTATAATAATCTATTTTTGTGATTCATTCAGATATAAGAAACATGAATTACCAAAATTAATTATATTTGAGGCAGCTGTTCTCATTTTAACAATGAACAAAATAAATGTTGTGTTATTTTTTGTTTATCGGCCAGGATCACAGCCAGTATCCAGATTATTTTGTCAAGAATTGTCAAATATTCCAGAAAGTATAATAATATCAGGTGATCACATAGTATTACCAGGTGATTTGAACATACATGTTGAGAAAAATTATGATATAGGTACACACCAAATCATTGTCCAAGTTATTTGACTTGTTTTCAATGCGAAATATAATTGAAAAACCATCGATACCAAGCTAATTACAGGCACGACTTGCCTGTGATTAGCTTGCACATAACAGATGTTAAAATATATCCACCTGAGGTTTATTCTGATTACTCTTTCTTGTCGTTTTGTTTGCCGATTAGTCGCTTTCCTGAAGTGAAGACTAGAAAAGTTGTACGTGCCTGGAATCGTGTCGATGAAAATAAACTGATTGAATTGATTAAAGAATTGCCAATAAGTGGTGCTTGTAATGTTAATAATGTTGGTAGAGCAGCAAAAATATTTAATGAAGAATATCTAAAGATTGTTACTATTGTTGCCCCCGTCCATACAGTAGATTCAAGTGTTATTCAGACTGCACCATGGTTTGCTGCATGTTGTAGAGAAATGAAACGTGCTTGTAGAAAGTTGGAATGAAGATACAGAAATAATAAATGTTCAAAAAATAAAAAGATGTGGAGAGATTTAACAATTGTAAAAAATGAACACTTTTCAAAAAGAAGAGAAATGTACTACTGGAACAATTTAGTAAATGTTAATGTTAATAATCCAAAACAACTTTGGTGAGTCTTACATAAATTTTTATGTAACAAAAAATATAGTAAGTGTAACGATGCAAAAAGTGATAATATTGCTAATATATTTGCAGGTTTTTTAGAAGCAAGATTGATAATAATAAAAAATGATAACCTATTGGACAGGGCTCATCTCCTTTCAATAGTGAAGTGAATAAAGATCAAAGATTTTAAGATTTTCTACAGTGTTCAAGAAATGATGTTAAATCAGTCGTCGTCAACAACGTGTATGCTTGATCCTATGTCTACGAGTATTTTTAAAAAGCATATCGATCTCTTCTGACCATCCATAACTGATTTGATTAACATGTGTTTGAAAACTGGAAGTTACCTATCAATTTATAAACAAGCCAGCAGTTTAGTAAAGAGTTAATTCAGAGTTTTCTTCATAAAAAATTAATTCAAAGTTTTCTTCAGTGAAAGGTTAATTGCAAGGGGATACAGACAATTTCATTCAACTGAGACAGGTATTATCAAATCTGTTTTGTGCATCTGATTCGAAGCGGATGTCATTGGTAGCATTGCTTGTATGAGTGCAGCTAATGCGGATGTTGTCTATAAGTTATGGAGTATCAAGTACAGTGATGACATTTTTTGATTCTTATATCTTATATGCGTGGCAGGACACAGCAAATATTTTTTTTAAATGAATATTCTAACAAAGAAAAATATTTACAGGGGTTAGTTTTGGGCCCATTTCTTTTCTTAGTTTATACGGCTGATTTTTTTTATATTATTGAAAGCTATGATATAAGAAGTTATGCTTATGCGGATGATATACAGTTAATGTCGAGGGCATCATTTGAAATGTTTGAAGACTTAGCTAACAGACTGAAAGATGCTCTCTCTGCAGTTAACACTTTGATGGCCCAAAATGGTATAAAATTGAACAAAGACAAAACCAAATTACTGCCGATAGGTACCTGGCAGCAGACTTCGAAGATACGTATAAAGTCGCTAAAGACTAATGATTCTGTTATTAAATTTGAAGAAACAGCAACGATTCTTAGTTTTACGATAGATATAACCAATTCATCTATGCGAGAACACACTAGGCGTATAGTCAAGCCGTGTTTGTTTCAACTTCGTCAATTGTGGCAAGTATAAAAGTATTTAAACAAAACCACCATGGTAGTGTTGAGTCATTCGTTTGTTCATCCACGATTGTACTATCGCAACACCGAAAAATGTGGTTGAAATGTTGCAATCTATTCAAAAAAGAGCTGCTAAAGTGGTAATGGTGGAAAGTTCGATCATGGGATTTACATTGGCTGTCGGTAGAAAAAAGGATCGTGTTCAAAATATGTGTTGATGTTCAGATGTTTGAATGGTCTTGCTCCACAAAACTTGTCGAATATGTTTGCATTCAAGGATACGAATTCACAAAACCTTGTTTTAAGATCAAAGCTATTTAAAAATTCCGGCAACAAAATCGAAAATTGGGCCGAGGAATTTTGCTGTTTGTGGACTGAGGATATGGAACAATCTTCCTTACACCATCCGCAAACCTGGAATATCACTGGTGTGGTTGAAAAAAGAATTAAAGACTTTTTTATTTTGATATTTTATTTGAACAATATAATAGTTGATAATGTAAACTAAGGACGTCATATTTTTTTAGTATTTCGATATTTCTTCCTGTGGACAATATTACAGTTGATAATATTTGAGAGGTTTTGAGTAACTTTTTAAAAGGCGCTGCATAAGTTTTAATATAATAATAATAACTTTCATCAAATATTAACACAAAATATAATAATTTCATTGTCTCATGTTAATTCATAACAAAAAGTCACTGTCTGATAAGAAAGTAAACGAAAACAGGCTTCTTTATGTGAACACTAGACTGGAAAAAACTTTGGATTCTAAACTCTCTGCTGAAGAAAACTCTGAAGCAACCAACTCTTCACTGAAGGGAACTAAACTTTAAATTACCTCTTCACTGAAGGAAACTTTGAATTAACCAACTCTTCAGTAAAAAAACTAAACTTAGAATTAACTCTTCACCGAACGAAACTTTGAATATTCTTTTGCATCAACTTCGCAGGTCGCACGAGTTTAAAAAAAAATTTATGTATATAAACTTTTCTTATAGAGCAATATTTGCTGATTAAAATAATACTAAATTTATTATTGTAGCATTTATAGTTACCGAGAAAACGAATTTTGAAAGAATTATTCTTACATTCAACTTGAGCAATGTTAAGAGTGGCGCTCAATGCTAAGCGAGCATGGAGCGTTATACTCTCGCAAAAGACGTGAAAAGAACGATTGAAAATTGAACACACAATTTTTTCTTGTTTTTATAACAGCTGTTAATTGAGAAAATAATAATTATGAATAATTTATATTTATAATAAAATTTAATTATAAATGATTAATTATAATTATAAGATAATTATATATATATCTATAATTTATATATATATATATATATTTATATTAAAATTTAATAATCATAATCATATCCATTGATCAGGTCTGTAATGAGACTTTCTACTGGTAACTTGTGGTCTTCAGCAGATTCTTTGTCTACCTCCCAGTAGCTGATGATGAACGTGTCTTTTTTCTTCTTCCTGTCTTGTATCCTGCCAATGAACGTAGATTCCTTTTTCTCACCCATTGACCACTTGTGGTAGAGAAGTTTGCCTGTCAATGGTCTTCCAGACGTTTTGCTGTTTATCAAGGCTGGCAAATAATGGATCATTAGAATTTCCATTATTAGTCAACAATTTGAGGACTGCATGTTCAGTATTCTTGCGATCTTTGTCTTCGGTTTTTTGGCTGAGTTGTCTTCTTCTTTCCAGGATGGCATGGTCAGTCTGCCTCTCAGTATCTTTGGAGATGTGCCGAATCTTTGCAAGCCACGTGATAGCAAACTTGATGATTTTGTTTTGCTTCTGCTCCGATTTAGCATCCAAACAATCCATGGTGTGGTTCATCTTCGCCTTCACCTTTGCATTTACAAAACCTATGGTGGCACAAGGTGATTTTCTTATGAAAAAATCAGACAAAGCAAAGGTTCTTTCCGCATGGATGTTGTGAGGAGATGCTGAGCTGGTGTCTGCAATCATCTGAGGAGTAGGGTTAGACAACTCTCTAGTGAGGTAGTTTCCCATCTGTCTCTCCATGACCTCTATAACACTCTGCATAAGAGAGATCAAAAGTTTATATAGCATATCATTGCTATACACTTTGTTCATCAGAGACAGGAGCACATCTTCTTTTAGAGGGTGACCAAACACATCAGTTTTCATCAGCATAACTTCTGCTGGGTGGTGTAGCATCCCCTCAATCACTGACTTGCCCAACTGAAAAACAGAACCCTAGGATCAAGTTTATTATTATCAAACAGTGTTAATATTTTATTAAAAGAACAATGCTTACGTTGTAATAGACAAAAAAATAAGTGAAAAAAAAATTTGCATAAAAAATCTCATCAACCATTTCCAAGTTTAAGAGGCCATGTATGTTACGGTATACCAATGTCATCCATGGGCCAGTGATAATCTTCCCAATGATGCCTAGAGCTTGAAATTGCACCATGACTCCCACTTGTTTGATCCCAATACATGACTTTGTGATTTTGTTTCTGTTGTTACTATAAAAAGGTTTTTAAGATTTTTAAATAATTTATTGAGTCAACTAAAAAAATGAACATATATACTTTCTAAGAAAAGTTCTGAGAAGTTCTTCATGATGGATGTCAATGCTGTCCATATAGAGTATCAAGTTCAATCGGTTTTCAACATATATAAGGAATGTGCCAGCTGTGACATTGTTGGCTTTCAGGAATGCCTTGAATGCAGATGGGTCTCCCTTATAGTTGTACCTACAACATCAGTAACAAAAATATCACCAATTATGAATAAACATTACACTTCATTCTAGAACAACAGCTCTCACCATAATGGTCATCGATATCGCAAACAGTCTAAATCAGAAGAGGCCAGCTCACCGAACAATCTTAACAGCATTGGACCTCACAAAGGCCTTCAATACCGTTAACCATTGCATCCTAATCTCCGACCTCATGTCATCATTGCTTCCACGATCAATTGTCCGCTGGTTGTCAAACTATCTGCATGGACGCTCTGCATCAACAGAGTTCCGTCGACAATTTTCAAAACAATGCACCATCCGCTCAGGAGTGCCTCAAGGTTCTGTATTGTCACCAACTCTGTTTAACTACTAAGTCTCCAAAATACCAAACTCTCCTCCAGACGTCAAAGTTATCTCTTATGCAGACGATTTTTCAATCTACACTACAGGTCCGAATGCAGATGATTTGACACTTCGGCTCAATTGTTACCTTCCGAAGCTTTACGACTTCTTCAATAGCAGAAACTTGGAGATTTTCACCTCCAAGTCTACAGTCACCCTCTTCACCACACACACTTCACAGTATCACTATCATCCAGCAATAAAAATAAATAACAGTTTATTACCACTCGAACATAATCCAAAAATATTAGGCCTCACGTTAGACACGATGCTGTCCTTCTCACAACACCATAAAGAAACAGCATCCAAGGCCTCGATAAGAAATAATATTTTAAAGGCACTAAGTGGTACAACCTATGGCCAGGACAAGGAAACTCTTTTACAGACCTACAAAACCATCAGTCGTTCAACAATCGAGTATGCCTGTCCTGCCTGGGCATCACTGACATCAGACTCAAGTTTCTTACGTCTTCAACACTCCCAGAATGCTGCCCTACGTCTGATTACAGGTTGCCATGTGATCGCCTCAGAACGGCACCTTCATTCAGAATGTCAGATGTTAACGGTAAGGCAGCATTCGGAGCTAATAGCATAACAATTCCTACTCCTATGCCGTAACCCTAGCCACACGTGCCATCATATCATCACGCAACAACATCCTCATCGCAATATAAAGACCACCCTCCTCTCCAAATGGTCTTCAATAACTCATGCGGTTCTACCAACAACCATAAATAGCGATTCTCTGAAGTCTGCTCTAAGAACACTACACTATAACACCATCAAAGCCGCTACAGAGACGTATCAGTCGCCATTGTTGTTGCTTGACAATTAAGCCTCCACCAACACCAAAAATAGATCCTACAAAAGAATCACTTCCCAGGGCAATCAGACGGACCCTAGCCCAACTCCGTTCTGGCCATAGTATTCTTCTAAACAGCTTCAAAAACAGAATCGACAGTGGGCGCCTCAACACCTGTCCTTTCTGCAACAATCATAGATATGATGTACCGCATATGTTTAGCAGTTTAGCTGTTCACAAAACACCACAAAACTACAACCAATAGATCTCTGGAGAAACCCAATTGCAGTGGCAGTTTGGCTCCAGCCTCGATTGGAGTCCCAGGGGTCCCCCAGAAGAGGGCAACAACAACAACAACAATAAAGAAACATTATATATAAAAAAAATAAGTGCCTCAGTTTGGACAGGTTGTATAGAAATGAGACAGCAGTTCCACCTTTGCCGGTTCTTCCTGTCAACCCATGCATGTTGTCAAAATCGGCCAAACATATCATGGCATCAGATGCAATTCCTTCTAATGGATGAACATAATTAACTCCTTGCAGCAATAAAAATACTGTCTTTCTTGAACGAAATACATCCCCTTGGAATTAACTTTTCACTGAAGAAAACTTTGAATTAACTTTTTATGAAAAAAACTCTGAATTAACTCTTTACTAAACTGCTGAAAACTTTAAATTAAACTCTCCTCGACATTTACACAAAAAAAAATTAAATCTGCCGAATGCCGTACCACTTCTCGAAACTAATTTTGCAACACTGAAGTTAGACACGCTTCCACCCTTGATCTTCGCATTTATTCTGCAGCACATAACTATCGAACCCTGACATACCACTCACCACACCCGGAATATTCTTTAACATCTATAAATATTCATGAGGTAACTTTCAGAAAGTGAGACAAAGACGTGACAGGTAATCAGCTACATTGCGATTACCAGCCCTAAGCAAAGCGAAGATTAAATTCTTGTATCAATCAATCAATCAATCAATTAGCTTATAAAGCGCTATTTCCGCGATGTTCAACAGCGCTCCTCAATGAATTTTGAAAACAGATGGGTCTTGAGATCCGCTCTGAACTTCGCAAGTGATGGAGAAGTAGTCAGAGAAGTAGGTAGAGAGTTCCAGAGAAAAGGACCAGAAAAAGCAAAAGCAGATTTGGCAAAAGAGTGTTTAACACGAGTTAAGAAAAAGCGAGAAGAAGACGATCGTAAACCGGGGCGTTTAGGTTCAATTAATATATCTGATAAATACTTAGGAAATAATTTAGATTGAGACTTATACATGAACGTGCAAATTTAAAAAATTATTCTATATTTTATAGGTAGCCAGTGCAAGAGAACAAGATATGGAGATATATGAGAAAAGAAAGGGGCACGAGCAACTAGACGAGCAGCAGAGTTAAAAGCTTTACTTATAGGATAGAGTATAGAGTCAGGAAGACCATAGTAGAGCGAGTTACAATAATCAATCCTAGATAAGACTAACGAAGTAACAAGAAGGAGAAGAGTAGGATCATCAAGAAAAGGCAAAAGTTTTTTTATTCTACGTAGATGAAAGTAAGAGCTTCCAGCAACACTATTAATCTGAGAAGAGAGAGACATAGTAGAATCAAAGATAAAACCTAGACTACGAAACTTATGGGAGACATTAAGAGTTTTAGAATCAGGTAAGATAATAGGAGGAATAGTAATTGAGTGTTTAGATTTATTAAAACAAATTAATTCAAACTTAGAAGGATTAAGTTTAAGACACATAGAGTCAGACCAAGCGATAATCGAAGAAAGACATAGAGATAAATTATGAAGAACACTATTGAGATTAGATGGAGGAAAAGAAGTATAAATATAAGAATCATCAGCATATAGTTGACTAGAGAAAGAAAAGTTATTAATAATACGAGGTAGTTCAGAAGTATAGAGTATAAATAGAAGAGGGCCAAGGATAGAACCCTGAGGTACCCCGAAAGTAAGAGTAGAGGAGTTAGAAGTAGAATTATTGAGAACAACAGAAGAAAAACGATTACAGAGATAAGAAGAAAACCAAGATAGACAAGAATCAGTAATATTAAAAGAAAGATGCAGCAATCTCAAGAGAATAGTATGGTCAACAGTATCAAAAGCTGAAGAAAAGTCAAGAGCAAGAAGAAGAGTAAGATTACTATTGTCACTAGAGAGAAGGATATCATTGTGTATTTTAAGTAAAGAAGTTTCAGTACTGTGAGCAGGTCTGAAACCAGATTGAGATACAGGTAGCAAAGAGTTAAAGTCTAAATAGGATGACAGTTGATTAAAAACAACTTTTTCTATTATTTTAGAGATGAAAGTAATATTAGTTACAGGTCTATAATTAGATAAAGAGGTAGGATCTAGAGATGAGTTTTTAAGAATAGGAATAACAATAGAATTCTTATAAGAAGTAGGAAATTTAGAGGTGGAAAGAGATAAATTAACTAACTTGAGAATGATTGGATAAAATATTGAAGAAAATTCTTCAAGTAAATTAGAAGGAAGTAGATCTAGAGAACAGGTTGTAGACGACATAGAATTAATAATTTTAGTTAGTTCTAAAAGATTTATTGGAGTAAATACAGAGAAAGATTCAGTAGTAAGTTTAGTAAAGTTATGAGAAGAAAAATTAGAATTAGATGTTCTTAAAGAAGTAATTTTATTTACAAAAAAGTCATGAAACGGTTGAGCAGAAATAGATGAGTGAGAAGATTTTTTATGTAGTAGTTTAGATAGAACAGACCACCTATTTTTAGATGTTGAAGCAGATGTTATAGAATTTCTAAGAAAAGTAGAGTGTTTAGAGAATAGTAGATATTTATAATTAATCAATTCAGATTCATAGATAGAATAAAGAGAGTTAGATGGATTTAACCTATAGGCTTTCTCCAGTCTTCTAAGACTTTTCTTGGCTACTACACAAGCATAATCAAACCAAGGAGCCTTACGAGAATAGAGCCTATAAGTAAAAGATTTAAGAGGAATAAGCTCATCAAGAATAGAAGTAATGTAGATATTAAAAGCACATGTAAAAGCACAGACAAAATCATCAACATCAGAAAATAAGGTAGTATCAAAAATAGTTTCAGTAAGAGATTGAAGAAAAATATCTTTATTAAGAGAAGACCAGCATCTTTTAGAAATAGACATAGATGAATTTGAAGGAAGAAAATCTAATGAAAAAACAGATTCAATAAGAAGGTGATCAGAGTAAGGAACAGAGCTAGCAGAGATATTAATAGGCTTAGAAAAAGATGAAGCTATAATAAAATCACTAATGTTACCAGAATTATGGGTAGGAAAAGAACAATATTGAGTTAAGTTAAAAAGAGACAAAATATCATTAAACCTACGAGTGTAAGAACATGATAAATTATTGAAGGTGCAAGTTAAAATCACCAGAGATGTAGAAAGGAATAGAAAAAGAGTAGAGAGATTCAGCGAGTGAGTAGAATTCATCTAAAAATAAAGTGAGAGAAGAAGGAGGGCGATAGATTACAGCAATATAAAAAGATAGAGAAGAAGACTTAAGAGATACAGCAAGACATTCAACAGAAGAAAAGAGAAAAGAAGTATTAATGGAAGCAGTAAATAGAGATTTATAAAACAGACAGATACCTCCATAAGAAGAATGAGAAGATGATAGAAGATTTTTTGGAGGTCTAGAGAGTTCAAGGAAGCTGTAACCATCAGGAGTAGCAACAATAAGAGAGGGAGAGTTAGAGTCCCCATGCCAAGTTTCAGTAAGAGTAAAAAAATCAGGTAAAGGAGGAAGAGATTATTTGATGGATATAGAGCGATTTTTTATTAATTGATCTTATGTTAATATTAAACAGTGAAAATGTAGAGGTAAGTTGAATATTGGTATTTTTAAATCTAGTTATATTATTTAAACTAATAGAATTAGAATTATTATTCTTATCATTAGTATTAATTACATTAGGATTAGAGTAGGATTTAATACAATTATTATTATTCTTATTATACTTGCTATTAACATTATTATTATTAATATAATTATGGTTACTAACTATATTTATTTTTTTGTTAGAGTTAGATTTATTATTTTTATTGTTTTTATTAGACCTAAGATTAAAGTAAATAATTCGCCGCCGAACTACTCTCGTCGGAGACAAAGGAGTGTTAGAGAGGCTTAAGAGAAAGTCTCTAGAATAAGACATAATAATATTTTCAAGTTAAGGAAAAGATGTAGAAAGATATAGAAAAAAAAATAACCGTAGTAAAAAAGAAGAGAACTCACTTGTTCAGAAGCAAAAAACAAGAATCCATCCAAATTACAAAACCACCGAGAAAACGTGCCGCCATCACGCTAAACGTGAACCGTCCGAACGGACGTTATTTAATTGTTATTGTTAATTTTTCCGGATTTAATTGTTATTAATTGTTAATGTGGCCAATGCCCACATTAACAATTTCGCGCTTTTCGGTTTTGATTCCGTTAAGTAGGTTAATGGTGTAGACGATAATTTTGGACATACAAATTCAGTCACAAAATTTTTGAAGAGCCCATATTACCGCAAAGGCTTATCGTTTTATCGTTGACCAACGGTTTTGCTGATCTGTAAATTTTTTACTTGCAAATGCAACTGGTCGTTCCGAGTCACTATCGTCAGGTTGTACCAAACAACAACCTATTGCGTTTTCGCTAACGCCAGTTATCAAACCGAAACGCCGTTTGTAGTTCAGAGTGTAGAGTTTAGTCACTTTCCTCAAATTCTGTTATAATTCCGTTTAGACTCTCCTGATGTTTTTACCGTCCAGACCACACGAGCTGGCGCCCCTTTCTTTGTCTAATCTGTGATACTGTTCATTTTATTGGCGAGATTAGGGATAAATCTTTGAAAATAATTGAAAAAGCAGGTGAGTTTCCTGTTCCCCTTTTTCGTTTTAGGTGGTTTAATAGAATACAATAATACAATATTTTTTTATTTCCCTCCTCAATATGATACAAAATAATGATAAGAAGGCAGTATGGTTGTGAAAAAGTTCATTAAGAAACTCATCTAGCACAACCACACCTGGAACATAAATTGTCAAAGTTTTGCAGAATGTCAATTAAAAATTAGATAAACATTTGTTCTCATGAAAGACAAAAAAGAAGCAACTGGAAAAATTAAATGTTAAATTTACTTGTTCCAAATAACAACAATTTAAAGAAAAAGGCAAAATTACAAATATCATTCTCACTTACAACATCAATACCCAATCACACACATCCAAACTCACACACATTCATTACTCACTCTCAAACATCCATACTCACCCACACACGATCATATTCAATCTCACACATTCATTCTCCCTCACACACATCTATACTCATTCTTACACATTCTTAATAATTCACACACATCCATACTCACTAGTACACACGTATCCATTCCATACTCACTCATAAACACATCCATACGCATTCACACGTTCATGAATTGGCGATGAAGGATGTCAGGCTTCTTTTAAATTCAAAAGGTGATGCTAAATCGTGATGGAATCGTGATAAATCGTGATTTTAACAGCTGATTCCAGATTCTTGGTCCTCTACAAAATATATGGTGAAATAGAGTATTTGTTTTGGATTTGTTTGACCTGATATAGTTTTGTTTTCTTTTATTACTAAGATGTTGGAAATAATTATTGAATATTTGTGGTAGTTTTTCAGTGAAATGTTTATAAACAAAATTTACTAAGAGATAAATATTTAGCTGATCAAAGTTTAAGTTTTTGGTAGCCATAAATAATGGTTTACTCTGAAAGCGTCTTGTCGAGGTGATTAATCTTACTGCTCTTGGGACCAGTAATCGTCGAATAAGTACTTGCCCAAACTGTATTGCAGTATGAAACATGTGGCAAAGAGTGTGTTCAAAGTTGTTGTTAGAACGAAATGACGTATTTTGCTAATGGCTCCAATTGCTATAGCAAGTTTGCTGGATACGTGATGAACGTGATTGCGAAAAGTTAGCTTTTGATCAAGAAAAATTCCAAGAAACTTGATGAATTTACTTTCTAAATTTTTGTGCCTATTGATAATGATCTTGTACGGCTTTCTGTAATTTAAGTATTTTACTGGACCAAAAACAATCATTTTAGTTTTTTTCTAGTTCAAAGTTAATTTGTTGTTATTAAACCACTTGACAACCTGTTTTAAATTTTCATTATTTTGTATTATTAACTCATCCATATTTTTGCTTTTACTAAAATATTTTGTATCGTCTGCATAACATACATAGTCAAAAAACATGGATGCTTTCGGTAGGTCATTAACAAATATGATAAATAGTAACGGGCCGAGGATGGTTCCTTGTGGGACGCCATGACAAATTTTTAAAGTAGAAGAATTTTTATTTTGCCATGTGACAAATTGAGTTCTGTCTGATAAATAACTCAAAAACCAGCTCAGTGGTAAACCCCGTATTTCATAACACTTCAGTTTATTCATCAAGATGGAATGATCAATGCAGTCGAAAGCCATCGAACTCGTCCTAACAACGTAATTTTTGGATACGGCTGCCTCACCAATTTGTCGAATCATTTCCGTGATGGCTAATTCTGTTGAATATCCATTACGAAAACTAAATAGAGAATCGTTTGTTGAATTAGATTTTTGAAGATAATTTACAATTCGATTGTACATATATTTTTCTATTATCTTCAAAAAAGGTGGTAATGGTGACACCGGTAGAAAATTTGAAAATCATTGTTGTTCGCTTCTTTTATTATTGGTACCACTTTTGAAATTTTAAAACAACTAGGAAACACACCTGAAGAAAATGACAAGTTTATAAGGTGTATTAGAATTGGTGATGTTGAATTGATGGTTTTAATCACAACAATTGAAGGAATTTCATCAATACCACTTGAATATTTCAATTTTGAGACTCTTGGTTGTTTGAATGATTTCATTTATTGTTGTTGGAAAGCAATAAAATGAGTTAAACATTTAATTTTTGAGTGTTTTTTCTGGATCAACATTGTTTGTGAAAGATTTTAACAGTTTAGGTACAATATTGATAAAATGATTGTTTAATTCATTTTCAGGATTTATTAAGACTTGATTATCTGAATTAATCGTTATTTCACTACATGAGGATTTATTTTTATTTCACAATTTGGAGATGATTGACCAGGTGATTTTGCTATTGCTTCTATTCTTTTTGAACAAATGATGAAAAAATTGTTTTTTAGATGTTGAGTTCAACTTCACACAACGACGAGCAACGGATTTATATATTTTATGGTTGATTATTGATGGCTTGTCGATATATCTTCTATATAAATTATTTTTTGATCAGATCAAATCAAGTAATTCTTTGGTTATCCAGGTCTAATTTTATTTTTAATAACGTTTTTCTTTTTTCTATTTGAGTCGATTAAAATGTCAAAAGTTTGTTTGAAAATTAAAGAAAAAAATTAAAAGCAAAATTTTTAATGATGACTTTGTTTCTGTTTGTATAGTATTGATCCATGCTCGTCAAATTATATCGTTGTTGATATTGTTTTTGCTCCCTGTCCGCGTGATAACCTTCATAAGCTCTGACCAGCTCCAAATTATGTTTCAATTGAAACAAATATTTTTCAGGGTTTTTTCCAATATTTAAAGAGAATTTGTTGTTGCCGACTCGGTATTCTTTTAAAACATACAGTGGGCCACTGGGCAACATTCCATATTATAAGTATGGACTGACATGGGTTGTGGCTGATGGTTTCTCCCTTAAACACCATAGGACAAATAGCAGTATTTGATGCCAACTTTTTGGGTTGTCTTGTGCCAGTTTAAAAATCATATTTTTAAATTTTTATTTACTGCTGCCTCTAGATGTCCTGGTGAATTGAAACGCGGAGTGCAACCCAAATGTCGTAACATTTCTCGAGTTAACCGACTGGTAAAATTTGTCCCTCTGTCGAACTTATCACTTTCGGAATGGCATACGTCATAAAAACTTGTAACAATACCTCACACGTTGACTTGGCACTGAGAGACTTTAACGGAAATGCCATGGGCCATCTGGTAACTGCATCCACTATCCCCAAGGCGTAGTTGTACTACATCAGCAACTATCAATGGTCCAATACAATCCATTATTAAATGGGTAAATAGTAATTCATCTTTGCACCAAATTGGTACTATATAGGCACTCTAAGTTATAATAAGGGTGGTGCTCTTAATTGACAGATATTACATGTTTTGCAATATTATCGAATTTTTTTGTCATTATCGGGAACTAAAAATTAAAGAATATTCGTCACTTCGTTGACTTAAAAGCCATATGGCCAGCAAATGGAACGTCATGCCCCAACTGGAAGACGGTTCCAATTCTTGTGGCTGGGAGGCAGCGTTGTTTTACTTTATGATATGACCCATAATATTTTCCTTATAGTAAAGTAAAGTATTGCGTCTTCTATGAGAAAATTTCCCTCTTTTTGCCTTGCCAAACCCCAGGCTTTCTTCAATGTACTGCAATTCAATTGTTCCTAGCTGAGTTTTGCTTTTTCTACGACTCCTCCAATTCACTCTTCTTGATCATCTTCATGCTCTTTATTACTTGAGTCTATTACGACTATTTCATGTATATCCCCGATGTTGATGTGTTGTTGTTTTTCTATCACACTGTTTAATTTTATATTTGAAAACGGCTGGGGTAAAACATGATCATCTTCATGCTCTTTATTACTTGAGTCTATTACGACTATTTCATGTATATCCCCGATGTTGATGTGTTGTTGTTTTTCTATCACACTGTTTAATTTTATATTTGAAAACGGCTGGGGTAAAACATATCTATTGGAATGTTCTAACACATCAAATACGCTTGGCGTTATTATTATGTCACATCCCAGATTTTGTATTATTGCTGCCCATATTTTTATAGCCGGTGCCATATTAAAACTTGATTGTTGATCTGGCAGCGGTTTAACGTAGATCCAAGTGCAGTCTACTTCTCTGAGCTCCTGCCCCTCTTACCTTCAGCTTTCCCAGCCTCGATAATTTCAAGGTATTTATGATATTTTGATCAACGCAACAGACTTCAGCTCCGCTATCAATCAACGCTTGACATGTAAAACTGTCATTAATGACAACGTAGGTATGCGAACGAACAAAATATTTGTCCGCAAGTATCACTTCATTAATTGTCTTGTTTGATAGGTGTGCTTCGTTATTTATTTGTCTCTTTATTGCATCAGTTTGACTTTATGAGTTTCTATACTGTTCAAGCTACCAGATACTTCTGTCTCTAGGTTCACCACTTTTGCATCTTGATTACTGCTTTCACCCCCTTCTTCTTCCTGCAGAACTGTACATTCCATTACTTGTTTCTGCCGTGCCTCATATTTAGAGTTCCTACAATAGCGGCTACATGACCACTTTCCACACAGGTGAAACATTTTATGGCATATTTGTTGTAGTTTATTTTTCTTTGGTACATCATGCCACCCGTGCCAAACATTTCCATTTGATTGTGTGTGTTCCTACTAAACTCCATGCGTTTAACATTATGGGCAACTCTCATGTTCAGCTTAAAGTGATCTATGGTCTTTGCCAATTCATCGCCCCTCAGCCAATCCTGTGTTTCCTTTGCTATGCTTATACGAATTCCAGTGTTGATTTTGAAATTATTTTTTTTCAAACGGTCGGCGCATATAAAATCGATTGCATCAGCTAGGGTTTTTACTTCCCTACTCTTGAAGTAGTAATCTGACGTATTTCTTAACTATGATAGTACAAATGTGTACCTTTCATTTTGCTTTTGACGAATCGAGTAAAAGTCATGGCGTAATATTATAGGGTCAAACCGTAGATCTTTCATTAATTGACTCTGGATAAACTTATACTCCTCTTCAGGATTCACATCCATTTCATATTCGTTTACTTTTTTAACTTTCTTGGCAAAACTGATATAAAGAGCCGTGCTTGAAACAGTGCAGCTATTTTTTGTTTTTAAAAATTTTTTCAATACAATCAAAGTAAGCAGGCAGTTCTTTTACGTCCTCTGGATCGGCGCCAATGAAACCCTTCAATGTCTGGGACCATAATGTTCCAGTATCGGCAATCATCAGTTGCCTCATTATTTTTCTCTTTTATTGCTTGCTTATAAGCTTCAAGCTCCTTTTTTGTTTGGATTTCTAATTCTTTCAACCTGAATTCTTCCCTCATTTTTTCCTCAGCAAGACGTAATTCTTTTTTCATTTTAAATTCCGCTCGTCTCGCTTCTTCTTTAATATTCATTGTTTTTAAATCTATTTTCAGTCGCATTTCTTCTTTCCTTAACTTCAGATCTGCTCGATATTTTTTCCATTTCATTGCTTTTTCATCGCGCTCTTGTGCCTTTCAGCTCCATAATGGCTTTGTCCTCAACCTCTTGTGCCTTTTGTTTAGATCTCCTTTCCATTATCCACTAGTACTTGGACCTCATGAATTCAGTTACCCGTCAAGCTTCAAGGGGGAGGGGGTCTAAATATTTGTGACACTTTGTGGGGAGGGGGGTAAACGCAAGTGTGACGTCCCTTTTTTTAGATAAAACAATAAATTTTTTTCATATATATATATATATATATATACGCATAAATGAACATTAAAGCATACAAGCGAGCAAATAGCTCATGAATATTAATTAAAGGAGGAGTCAAATTTAAATGCCGTCGTTAAAGTTTACCGCTGTGTAGGTAATCCGTTGGTTTCAGTTTCACAGAACCTGGCCAGCCTTTGGGAGGAAAGCAATTAGTGATCTTTCATATTAATTCGTTATATTTTAACTAAGGTAAAGCATTTAGATATCAAACTATCGTCATTTAAACTTGTAATTCGTTATTTTTATATCAATGAAAAATAAAATGCATAGAACAATTTCAGTGTTTAATGACTCATCACTAAGAGGGGGGGGGAGTTAAGTTTTGTGACATGCTTATTTTTGGGGTTGGTCGATTTGTGACAGTTTGACAGTTTGTGACTCAGGGAGGGGGACCAAAAAACGTTAAAAAAAACGTGACATCCTCTAAGGACAGCCCCTAATGTCAATAACATTAACAATCTCAATAATCTCAAAGCTAATATTTATCAAATATATAATTTGTATAATTGTACCAAACAGAAAATCACACCGAAACAACGTTGTTAACTTAATTATGTCACTTGTTCTAAATAAATACGATTTACAACAATTCCATATTGTTGAGCTTATTTTTAAAAAGTTTATTAATGCTAAGTGGGCAAAAATATTCAAAGAAATGAAATTTGCATGGCCGGAAAACTCGTTTCGTTTTAATATATATATATATATATATATATATAATATATGCGCCTTTGCGTTACAAAAGTTTGCCATGGTAATTAACATATTGCGCTAAGAGGTAATTAGTGTGTGCTGCTATGAAGTAATTAGCATATTCTCTGTTTTCATTTAATTACCACGTTTTCTTAGCTCAGGTGTAATTAGCAAATGTGCTGCTGGAGATTAATTAGCATATTGCGTATTAATCTATCGGAATTCTTAATTCATACACCGCTCCTGGGCGTAATTAAATTGTCATTATTCAAATAAAAATAAATTTGCATGCAGCAAGTGTGAAATAAAAATCCGAGTCCTTCAAAATGGCTGGCCCTAGACATTGGTCTCATCTGTCAATTGGTTATTCTGGCCTTGTGTTTATCCGTTAGCTGAAAATTGATTAGGAAATATCTAAAAATTGTAAAAATCATAATTTAAAAAAATAGAGTTATTGTAAAAATATATAAAAATAAAATATATAAAAATAATATTTGATGAATTTCTATGAGATAGGTAGCGCTTTAGAATCTTTTGTATTCGTATTTTTGGACGCTCAGAAAATGCGCAAGCGCATTGCTAATTGGCGGGCTGTTATTGTGTTGTTTGCATTGTTGGTCGTTCCGCGGTTTGCAGACTTGTTTACCTAAAAAGAGTTTGGTCCTGCAAGGATTTCGCCATCAAATCTCCCATAAAATAATTTTTACTGACTTTGTTTGCCAATAAAAAATATGTCCGAAAAGGTTGCCACAAAAGCTGCAAAGAAGGAGACCGCGGTTCGCAGCAAATTCACCGAAGACTCTGATGATTCTGCTCCTGAAGCAAAAAGAGGTCGAGGAAGGCCAAAGAAGGATCCGGCAGAGAAGGTGCAGCTATTTTCATTTGAGCTTTATTCTATTGCTGGTCTCAATTTTTTTCATTTACATACTCGTATGTCATAAATAAATTAATAATTATAGCATAGATAGATTAGAGATCACTTCGTTAGTTATTTATTAAAATTAAATTAAAAAAAACAAAACAACAAATTTAAATAAATAATTTTGCAATTATTAATAGTAATTATGTACATGATAAAAGTATTATTTTTAAAAATTTTAATTAGGTATTTGCTAATTTTTATAAAATTGGCAATTTATAAAAATTTATGGCTTTATTATGTTTTGATGATTATTATTTTGTTTGTAGGTTAAGCATATTTTTTTGCATATAGTTTTTAATTTTTTTCTTTAATTTGACTTAGTTTTAATTTAATTTTAATTTTCTACATTTAAAATATGAGGTGACTGAATGAATTACTTCTTGACTTTTAAATTTCTAATTTTATATGATCTTAGTCAGTGCTAGCATTTCACATATGACATAGGTCACATTGAAAACTATATAATATAATTTTTTAGATTGGAGATACACCTAATTTTTGGTCTAGCCAAATATTCTTTCAAAATTTAATGTTTAGCTTTGGGAATTTTAAAGGTGATTAATATTGTAACTTCTGTTAAAATATTAAGTGATGACTAAAAGTTTAAACTTTAAGTTGGTTCCTGAAAAATAATTGCTGAATATTATTAGTAGGAAGTTTATTTTGGCCGTTATAGCTGTTAAAACATGTTCTTAAGATTGATTATTAGCTCCATTAAGAGTTGTTGAATAAACAAATATAAATTACATAAAGTTTATTCAATAGCATGTTTTTCGTTCGAAATAATAACATTTTTCCGACTTGTGGGTTTCTTTAATTAGGCTTTTGTCATATAGTGGATCAACTATTGTGCATCTGCTATTATACTATTAAAATTAACTTGTCATTACTTATGTATACTCCTTGATTTGTGCATTATGTCACCACAAAAGTTAATTTTGGTGAAGTTGTATCAAAAATTTTAGTTTTATTTGAAGAATCTATTAAACGGAGTCAAACAAAACATGTTCATAACTTTGTTAAACATCAAACATTCATATAAAGTCAAAATAAATTTTTATTCTGAAAAACTATTTTAATATTGTGTTATTTATAAGAAGTGTATGTGCATTGACATGCTATCATTTTTATATTGATGGTAAGTGCTAATATGCGAATAAAGTCACAGTTTTCTTCACAGTTTTCTTTCAATTTTCAATGTGTTTTAAAATAAATTTAAAATGATTTTACTAAGATAGATGTTGAACTTTTTTTTTTGGATGTTGGAACCTGTAGTTAAGAATGGAAAATTTTTGTTGCAGGTGTTAAATATTTGTTAGACTCCAACGATCTGAATGCGAGCAAGCACTATTCAATATGCAAATAAAGCTTATAAAAGCTTAGTTTTTCACATCGTTTGAACCAGGTGTCATTGAGAAATAATAAGTGCTATATTGCTCCTGTTATGCAAGTTCTATATTTGAATAAATACTTGTCTTTCAACTGACCACTGAGAAATAATTTTCTTCATTTCAGATTATGTGGTTTATGTATTAAGATTAATTACATCAATTACTAAGCAATTTTTGAAAGTTTTTTTAATGTTAAAGTTTGAACAATTTTAATCCAAACATTGTATCCAATAATCATTTAATATCTTTAGAAATCTTTCATGCTATATTTACATCCAGTCAACAATTTTAATCCTTTATTGAACTAAATGCTTTTCTCTGGATTTTTCATTGATTATAATATAATTGGCTTTTAAATTTGTTTTCATTGCATTTTAATTTGAGGTGTTTAAAATTGCCAACAACTAACGTTCATTTAAAATAACACCTTGTGCAGAAAACCACCACAAAGGCTTCAAGTAATCTGGGTGAAAAAAAGACAAGAGGGAGACCAAAGGGCTCAACAAAATCTGACCAATCAAAGGTGGGAATCGACAACAACAATTTTGTTCACTCTCTTTGTTTATTAATTAATTAAATCGAATTGATTTTTTTTTTTTCAAAAAAGAAATCTGAAGGCTCAAAGCGTAGAGGACGACCTGCCAAAAAGGTTTTACTTTTGTTTAAGTTTTTTATCATTCAATGTTAAAACATTTGTTATGTTTGTATTGTTTAAGTTTTTAAATTACTTTAATTATGTGACCTCAATATTTTTATTAGTGTTAATACTTTCTGATAGTCTTTAGCGTTGTTGATAATCAATTGTTACCATTCTTAACAAATTTATAGTTTTTTCTATTTTGAATCATTTATGCTTTTTTTCAGGACAAGAAGGAATCGGAAGATGAGGAACAGAATTCTGATGATAATTAACACTGACATCTGTAGTTTTAAATGTTTTTTGTCAACATTTAAATGTATAAACTGACAGTGTCTTTTTCTTATATTTTATTTATATGTAATGATTGATGGTTTTATTTTTTGTCACCTCAAATGTCTAAATAATAAAATATTTAAAGTGGAATTGATGCTCTTAGTTTTTAGTTGAGTTTTTTTTTATGATTGCGTGGACATCAAATTAGTGTCCTATACTTGCGTTGCTTTACTCTGAGTGGGGCATGGTGACCTGGATGTTTTCTAGTGTTAGACTAGTCTGAATGGAAGAGTTGCAAGCACTGGATGATAAAAAATAAAGATAGCCTTAGGATCGTTGTGTCAGTCTTACTAAACGTGACTGAATTGGCGTAGGCGAAAAAAAGATTACTTGATTATTTCAATTTCCAAAGTATCGCGTTTTCTATATATTAAATATGGGATTCAAAATTAGGTTTCAACGTATTTTGCATCTTTTTAAAGAAACTTGAAACAAACCTATATAATGTTTGTATCTTTATATTGGAACGAGGTTTCCGTTAAAATGCAATATATAACGCTAAAATACTAACGCACTTCACCAACGGTATAAAATTACCAACAGTTGTCAATGGCTCGCGACCATCGAACGACTCAAATACTACGGCCAGCTAGTGGCGTAGACAAAAATTGGCTGTGGGTGGAGCCTAAATATGTTAAAAAAGCTAATATTTTTTTGCTTATCTCACAATTTGTTTGAAATTTTTCTATTAAAACCACTGGCTTTGTGCAAGATGTCACTTAACTGAAATATACAAATTTTAGCAAAATTATATAGAGAATTCGATCAATTTTTTTCATGCCATAACATAGTTTTCCATTCTATCACTGCCAGCTTTAGGACTAAAGCCTCTATGCCAGAGCTGCCAGCAAAAATTGTTACAAGAAAATTCTTCAAGTCGGCAATGTGAATAAATACGTAGCTAGTGACATCACTGAATAGCTTAGAACAATTGATGTTGGAGTCATATCCTGCTATCTGGCCTTCAGAGGAAGATGCAATGACAGATCAGACGAATGCCAGCCATCCACGCCATCTACTTTATTGCATCATGTGCTTTGACGCAAAATTGGCTCGAACAAAGCAGAGTGAGACAATAGACATTAAAGTACGATAACAGCAACCTACTCA